GCGGGGCCGGGGGCGGGCGCGGGGCCGCCCCCGGGGCCGCAGCCAATGGCCGGGGGACGGGGCGGGCACGGGCAGGTGTCGGCCCCGCCGCCGGGGCCGTGCCGAGCCGGGCTGTGCTGAGGGGACGGAGCCGGGGGCCGCTCCCACGGTGCGGCCGCGCTGCCCGCCCGGTACCGGAGGACGAAGCGCCGCTGGTGATGCTGCTGCACCAGCCGCTCCCGGCTTGTCTCCCGGCTTTTCCGCGGGTCCGGTGCTCCGGAGGGGGCGGAAGGTGGAGTGAGCCGCAGCCCGTGCCCCACGCGGGCAGAGCGGCCGTGCGGGCTGGAGGAAGGCGCTGGCGGCGATCCCGCGGCCCTGCCGCCTGTCCGTCCGTCCCCTTCCCCACGGCTGGGGGCTGCGGTGCAGGGAGGGACAAACCTCTGCCGTGCCCCGCTGGGACACCGCCCTGCGGTGAAGCACGCTTCCCAAGTTAGCAATCCTCTGGGAAGAGGCAGTGACTTTTGGAGCAGCGGGATGGACCCGGCACAGCCCTCGGTGACTCCCTCCCGCTGCCAGGGGCCAGGAGCACCTGCCCAGACATATTTTCTTTCCTGCTGGGAAGGTTTTGGGCAGCGCAGCCGTCCCACCAGCAACCTCTCTGTTCTCTTCCCTGCTGCCTTCCCCTGACTCTTTTCCTCGGGCAGGGCTGGCCACAAAACCCCGCTGAGGCACACGCTCCCTGTGGCTCCCCTCTCCCCAGGGGCCGTGTGCCCACGGGAAGGTGCCCAGGCATGGCTGGCGGGCGCTGGGCAGCGGTGGGCAGAGATGTAGCAGTCAGAGGTGTGCCAGTCAGAGATGTGCCAGTCAGAGATGTAGCAGTCAGAGGTGTACCAGTCAGAGGTGTAGCAGTCAGACCACGCTGCCTGCGCTCCCAGCCCCGGGCTCCCGCGGGGGTTTCCCCCTGGAAGGGCTCAGGCACGGCTCCAGCCACCTGCTGCAGAGCCGCGCTCAGCTCCGGGCCAAGGCAGCTGCTGGCGGCTGCCGCAGGAGGAGCAGGTCCTGCTGGGAATGCCTCCCCCGGCCCCGCCACCCGGCCAAGGGCAGCGTGCTGGGCCACCCGTGACTCACGGTCACACTGCGCGCACCGCTGCGCCAGCCCCTGCCGACCGCATCTTACTGTTTAGCCACAACGACACGAAATGCAGAAGTGGGAGCAGAGCTTTCCACCGGCACAGGGCCTGAGCTCACCGTCAGCCTTTCCTCAGGGCAGGAACAGCTCGGAGAGCCTGTCCTGCCGGCCACGCGCATCCTGCCCGGGACCAGACGCCTTTGCAAACTCTTCCCCTGCAGCCATGTGCTCTGGTACTGCACCATCCCCCGGCTTTCAGCAGGTGTTTATCTGCGAAACTCATCCCTGCATCACCTGAAGTTCAGGGGGAAAAGTGCCCCAGAGGCCTTGGGGGGTACAAATCACCAAGGTCAGGTCCTCCCTTTCTCCGGGGGGCAGAGGTGCCGCTCCCGGGCGGGCGGCGGCGGCAGCCGGGGCTCTGCAGGTGCCCCCCGGCCCCGGCCGCTGCCCCCCGGGCCGGGGCTCTGCAGGTGCCCCCCGGCCCTGGCTGCTGCCCCTCGGACCGGGGCTCTGCAGGTGCCCCCCGGCCCCGGCTGCTGCCCCTCGGACCGGGGCTCTGCAGGTGCCCCCCGGCCCTGGCAGGTGCCCCCCGGGCCGGGGCTCTGCAGGTGCCCCCCGGCCCCGGCCGCTGCCTCCCCGCCCTCCTCCTCCTGCCGCGGATGTGGTCACAGCGGGAACACGCCCCCCGGCCCTGGCCGCTGCCCCCCCGCGCTCCTCCTCCTGCCGCGGATGTGGTCACAGCGGGAACACTTGCACGGGGAACACGGCGAGGTGGTTTTCTGTTCTTTCTGAAATGGTAATAATCAGATCTGTTCCAACCACTGCGCGTGGAAACTTGCCTGTGCTAGGGGAAAAAACGAGACCGAGGGAGAAAGGGACCTGACCTGCCTGTGGGCCAGCATGACGGGGGCCAGAGAGCAGGACGCAGGGGGGGGGAGGCTCGGCAGTGCTTCACGGGCTGGAAGTGGCAGTGAGTTTCTCGGCCGTCCCACCCTCACCACCAGCTGAGCCCCAAGGCGCTCAGAGCAGACCTGCCAGCAGCCCGTGGCACGGCTCCAGTCCCAGACGCACAAGGACTGGCCCAAGGAGCTCACAAATACACTTCAACCACCTCCAGAGCAACAACTCTGCTGAAAACTTTTCTTTTTACTTCCCTGGCCCCACGTCTCCATGAAGCATCCTGAATATCTGGCGGCAGAGCAGAGCTCCTCCCGCCGAGGGAGGCTGCGGTGGGAAAAGGAGACGCTCAGGCCATGGGACGGGGTGAGAACCCTCACGGCAAGGCTGGAGAAGCCCCTGCAGCCCGGGGCTGAGCCCGGCGGAGCGGCTGGCGCCCAGCACGGTGCCGGAGCCCGTTCTCCGAGATGCAAGACCTCCCTCTGCCGTCCGCAGCCCCGAGCAGCCGCCGCCGCCCCGGGACCATCCCCGGCACCCGGGCTGGCCAGGGGCCCCGCACCGCGCGGGGCACTCGGGCAGCCCCCAGAAGCTGCACGGAATTATTTTTTTAAAGCCCAGCATTTGAAAAGACAGAATAAATGTGAGAACTAGAAGAGAGATCTAAGCCGGTAGCAGTGACACAAATTTTTCTCTAAGTATAGCTGAGTATTTTCTGGAGCTTTGGGGAAGGACTAAGGAAGGCAAAGCAAGTTTCATAGTGGTTTCAGCAGTCCTCATTTGTACCACCCAGAGAATAATGTAACTTGCCCATGAAATTGAATGAAGCACAGACTAATGCAACTGTAACACAAAGCTGTGTGTCAGAAAAACAAACAAAACCCACCCCCAAAGCAGGCAAATGCTGCACTGTAATTTTTATTATATTTAAACCGAAGAAAAGCTTTAGGATCGCAAACACATCCCTCATTTGCTTTTGCATGGCTTAGCACATCCTTGGTTGGTTAATCCTTTGTGAGGTGGGCTCACCAGCGAGTGTCCAGCACAGCTGGGCAAAGGCCTTGAAGAAAATTTGCTGTTCTCTCTTCAGTCAGGTGACACGAAAACCCGGAATGCAGCACTTACCCTTTGGCAAGATCTCATCCCCCAGCCTAAGGAGACCTTGGGGATTTAGCGCCGCAATTCCACATGAAGCGACGCCCGTGCATTAGGAAATTAATGCTGCCGACAATTTATCAGAGCTATTAAGACCAGTCGTTGTCGGGAGACAAATTTGATGGAACAGCTCAGCTGCGAGCCCGGCTCCTCCCGTTGTGTCTCTGTGTGCTAATTGTGCTCCTCGGGCTGACTCCTTGTGCCAGACACGGGGAATTTCACAGCTCGGGCTGGCCCGATTGCATTATCCCACTGGGCGGCCGCAGGAGCAGCTGCTGACGAGGCGCGAGCAGCCCCCCGGCAAGGGACACTCACCCTCGGGAAGGGACACTCGCCCTCGGGAAGGGACACTCGCCCTCGGGAAGGGACACTCGCCCTCGGGAAGGGACACTCGCCCTCGGGAAGGGACACTCGCCCTCGGGAAGGGACACTCGCCCTCGGGAAGGGACACTCGCCCTCGGGAAGGGACACTCGCCCTCGGGAAGGGACACTCGCCCTCGGGAAGGGACACTCGCCCTCGGGAAGGGACACTCGCCCTCGGGAAGGGACACTCGCCCTCGGGAAGGGACACTCGCCCTCGGGAAGGGACACTCGCCCTCGGGAAGGGACACTCGCCCTCGGGAAGGGACACTCGCCCTCGGGAAGGGACACTCGCCCTCGGGAAGGGACACTCGCCCTCGGGAAGGGACACTCGCCCTCGGGAAGGGACACTCGCCCTCGGGAAGGGACACTCGCCCTCGGGAAGGGACACTCGCCCTCGGGAAGGGACACTCGCCCTCGGGAAGGGACACTCGCCCTCGGGAAGGGACACTCGCCCTCGGGAAGGGACACTCGCCCTCGGGAAGGGACACTCGCCCTTGGGAAGGGACACACCTTCGGGAAAAGGGACACTCACCCTTGGGAAGGGACACTCACCCTCGAGAAGGGACACTCACCCTCGGGAAGGGACACTCACCCTCGGGAAGGGACACTCACCTTCGGGAAGGGACACTCACCTTCGGGAAGGGACACTCACTTTTGGGAAGGGACACTCACCTTCGGGAAGGGACACTCACCCTTGGGAAGGGACACTCACCTTCGGGAAGGGACACTCACCCTCGGGAAGGGACACACCTTCGGGAGCCCGGCCTGGCTGGTTGCGCTCCCAGGCTTCTCCAGCAGGGATCGAGGGGAGTGCAGGCTGTGCACAGCTCAGGCCGCCTCTCACCAGCGCCTCCAAATCAATCTGGGAGTCCCAGGCTTCTCCAGCAGGGATCGAGGGGAGTGCAGGCTGTGCACAGCTCAGGCCGCCTCTCACCAGCGCCTCCAAATCAATCTGGGAGTCTCAGTCGGGCAAAGGCTCCGGGCGCTCAAAGGAACGGGGGGAACAAATGGCAAGAGCTGACACAAAGGTAGGATTTTATAAATTAAATGACCTTTATTTGTAACTTGTCCTCAAAAGTCAAAAACATGACAAAGTAATTGCTTGGAAGCTTCTAAATGCTCCTTAAACATTTGATCAGAATCGCGTGGAAGTGCACTTAGAACAGAAGCAGGAATCTGGATTCCTGGCAATGGGGCATCCCAAACTGCACCCGGAGCAGACCCAGAGATCCCCATGCAGCCCCCAGCACCTCTCTGCAGGCCAGGCACTACAACAACCAGCCCAAACACAGCACCTTCCCCACACAACCGGGAGGCTGCACAGCACTGGGCCCCCAGGGGCTCAGGGTGAGAGGGTGGGAGCTCAGAAACACAAACCCCAGGGGCAGCACAGAGGGCTGGCTGAATCACGAGGTTTTAGCCGGACTGTGTTTCATTATTGTCAGGGTAAGGCAGTGCTGGGAGGAGCTGACTGCTCAAATCAATTAATTAGCACTCAGTTCTGGGTGGGGCAGGCCCACTGCTCCAATTCCGAGGCTTGCATTGAAATCTCAACACTGGTTTTTACAGGTTCTGGTCAGGTGCCTTAGATCTCAGCAGCTCCACTGTGAACTTCTTGAAAGCATCACGTTAAAATTAAGGAATCTCCACGGTAAAAGTGTAGCTTGAACACAGAGTATCCACTGATGAGGGGCTGCAACTGTCCTGCTTTCAGGGCTGCATTTCACTTTTCCTTGAAAGCTGCACCTGGCTCTACACACGCACTGCCAGATGGCAAACAATCCAAGCACAGCCTCAGCCACTTCAGGAACATTTCAGTGAAGAACAGGAATTCAAAATACCTGATAAAATCTGGGATGCAGAAAGGAAGAACTATGCCAGCACTATGAATTACTCCTAAGTTTTCCCAGCAGCTTGCCTTGAGAGATGGAAAACCCAAGAACATGTATGAAAATTTTAGTTTAAATAGAAAGCCGAGGTATTGAAAAAACCTTCTGAATTCCCCTATCAGCATAAGGCTTAAAATCACTAGGAAACCAGTTTCAAACCCACCAATTTAATCATAAAGCCAGCAATTTTGATTAATATTTGCTAATATAGTTAAAAAATTATGCATTTTAACTAAGACCAACACTAAAGATAATTTTCCAGGCTAGAAATTATAGTAAGAGTATGGAGGAAAGTAATCATCATGCATAGAACTGAAGTATTTTGAACTAGTTTTTACACAGTGCAAAGATTTCCTAGGAAAGTTTGCAGTTTGAACACTGATACTGGAGATATGTTTTCCATACAGTTGGGAGGCTGCCTGTAAGGATTGAAACACTGGGAAACATGATGGAATCACAGGAATCAGAGGTCACTTAAATGAGAGCTGGTCTGACAGTTACAGTTAGCACCTGAAGTCTCACTAAAGGGGAACAGAGCTACCAGTACACCTCACATACAATCACTTGAGATATGTAAATGAGATTGGGAAGATATTTATTAACTAGTTCAGGCCATTCCATCTGGAATGTTTTTGATTTTAGATAGTCAAATAAACACAACTTCCAAAGAAACCTATAGGCATAGGTAAAGGAAAAAGCCTTGGTTCCCACGTGCTGATCTACAATGAAACTGAGTCTAAGCAAGTAGAAAAATGGGGCTGAATGTCAGAGACCATGATACCAAAAGAGTGGATGGTACAGAAATATCAAACCAGGATTTAAAACTGAGATAGGATTAAAGTCTTCTGTACTTCTGGATGCCTGAGTTAATCTTGGGATGTGCAGGGAGAAGTGCAAGGATGCTGGGCATTTCCCCCTCGTGGAAGCTTGGGTTTGCAGTAAATCCTCTGCCTGGATCACTTGTCCCGCAGAGAGCGCATCAAAACCTGTGCCATCATATCATCTTCATCAGCATCATAATCCTGGAGCAGAGGGCAGAAAGGTTGTGACTGCACAGCCACGCTGCTCAGGGCCCTGGCAGCAGAGGAGCTGCACCCCTGAGCCCTGGGCACACCAGGACATGCTGTCACTGCACAGCCATGCTGCTGAGGGCCCTGGCAGCACAGCAGCTGCACCCCTGAGCCGTGGGCACACCAGGACATGCTGTCACTGCACAGCCATGCTGCTGAGGGCCCTGGCAGCACAGCAGCTGCACCCCTGAGCCGTGGGCACACCAGGACATGCTGTCACTGCACAGCCATGCTGCTGAGGGCCCTGGCAGCACAGCAGCTGCACCCCTGAGCCGTGGGCACACCAGGACATGCTGTCACTGCACAGCCATGCTGCTGAGGGCCCTGGCAGCACAGCAGCTGCACCCCTGAGCCGTGGGCACACCAGGACATGCTGTCACTGCACAGCCATGCTGCTGAGGGCCCTGGCAGCACAGCAGCTGCACCCCTGAGCCGTGGGCACACCAGGACATGCTGTCACTGCACAGCCATGCTGCTGAGGGCCCTGGCAGCACAGCAGCTGCACCCCTGAGCCGTGGGCACACCAGGACATGCTGTCACTGCACAGCCATGCTGCTGAGGGCCCTGGCAGCACAGCAGCTGCACCCCTGAGCCGTGGGCACACCAGGACATGCTGTCACTGCACAGCCATGCTGCTGAGGGCCCTGGCAGCACAGCAGCTGCACCCCTGAGCCGTGGGCACACCAGGACATGCTGTCACTGCACAGCCATGCTGCTGAGGGCCCTGGCAGCACAGCAGCTGCACCCCTGAGCCGTGGGCACACCAGGACATGCTGTCACTGCACAGCCATGCTGCTGAGGGCCCTGGCAGCACAGCAGCTGCACCCCCTGAGCCCTGGCAGCCAGCACACTGACAGCAGTGCCCAGGGGGCTGCAGGCAGGGAACACCTACCACAAAGGTGTCGTAGGAAAAGCGGTGGCGTCTCTGCAGGTGCTCCATGAAGTTAGCACTCCTGTAGTTGGGGTCCCCCCATGGCATTGAGGCACAGATTGGGCACACCTTCGAGGAAAAACAGCCAGTTAGGTCCAATGCTGCAGGGCTTAAATGCTGACAGCAGAAGGGCAGGGACAGCCTGGGGGAGTGGGGCTGAGGGCTTGTGCTGTCACTGCTCTGTATGCAAAGTGATGGCCAAGAACTTGCTGGGACATTGAATGCAAAAGCCTCAGATAACCCTGAGTAATTTTAATTCATGTCTTAGATCCCTGAAATGGAATGGCTTACTCTCCTCCCACGTTCTGAAAATCAGAACTCATTAAAGCCTCTTGCTTTAGGAGATTTCAGCCTTATTTCACAGAGGCAGGAAAGCTTCCTTGGTCTCCTCTGCAAAGTTCACTTCTCTCCAAGAGAAAAAAGGAACTTTATTTTCCTGAATAATCTGGAATTCCAAAAAATTTCCCAGAAAAATGGAAGTTTCCAATTCAGTTCCATGTTTTGCAATTCCTCTTACATAAGAGGAAGTACCACAGATAGGTTACTAGAATGATACAGTATTTTTTTGCAAGCATTTCCCCCAACAGTTTACAGTACTTCCTTGCTGAAAACAAGGGGAAAAACAAGGAGGAAATTAAATGTCTGACTTTTTTTTTTGAAATTCTATTTTGCCTAATTAACTTTGAAGGTGTGCCATTTTTCAAGGATGAGAAGAGGATGTGGCTCAGCTGCAGAGGGTGTGGAGACCAGAGAGCCACTGAAAGGTGACAGCAGAGCCACAGCAGGCTTAGAGGCACAACCAGCACAGCCACACCAACTGAGCAGCAGAAATTACACCCACTTCATTCAAACCTCTCTAACTCATTGTTTCAAAGGGCTTTAAGACCAGACTCCACTGGAATTCTTGCCCCAAGACTTTTTTTTACCACTTGTTTTGCATCCATGCTGTGCAAAGCTTTGCAGTGCTCAACCAGCCCTTCCTGATCAAAGTTCTTCTCGCTGCAGTAGGGGCAGGGGAAGGTGAAGCGATTCGGGAAGCTCCTGGTTGGGGGAGAAAAGGTCAATTACAAATACAGATTACTCAGGGCAATAATATATGTATGCAATTAAGGCAAGCTATTTTTAACAACCAGTCTGTAATACTCCCAGGGAGTATTTTAGGGAACTCAATATTTAGATTGAATTACAGATTTTCTGCAAATGTTCTAAGTGCCATTTGTCACCTTCTCCTCAAATGCCAGGGCACCACCCACAGCAGTGCACTGCCACCAGCTCCCTCTGCCCTCCCTTGTGGCTGAGTGCAGCCAGGAGACCAAGGTATTTTGAGAACCAGCTGCATCTACAGAATGCCCTGATCTTAGAGACGTCCAAGCAGAAGCAGCAGAGTTCACCTGGGCACAGCCAGCTGCAGGATCAAGGCTCAGCTTTTAACTACATAAAAATCTGCACCCAAACTTTGAGCAAAGTGCTAAAATCCGCTTTTGCTTCAAAATTCTTTCTTGTGCCAGAGAAGCCCGGGATTTCAGAGCAGAGGTGTTACCTGGTGCTGTGCAGGGGCTCTTTAGTAACAGCTTTCACACCTTCCATGATGTAATTCTGGTACTTGGAGCAGGAGGCTGCGTGGCTGCGCATCTTGGACAGGTACATCTGTGCAGAGAACAACAGCACAGCAGCTCACACCTCCTGCACCTCCTGCACACGTCCAAACAACAGCAGCAATCGTGGGAACCCCAGCAGCTTTCAGCAGAAGGGTTAAAGCAGAAGCTGCAAGCACTTCAGCTGGACAAGCAGAAAACTTCTGAGACTGCAGTTAGCTGAGCTGTAGCTCTGCTGTCTGGGTCACCACACAGCCCTGCTCACAGCACCAACGCCTCACTCTGACTGTAAATCAGGAGCTTTCATCTGAAATTCACTTCCTAAAGAGGTAACAACACAAAACTGTGGAAAGAATGTTAATGTGTGGGTGCTGCCTGTACCACACACCTTCAGCACATATCAGAACAAACACTTTGACCTGATTTTGCAGAAAGCTGAGGAGGAAGCAGTTTGTTTTCCCCTAGGTGGACACATCTCACGTACTGAATTCCCAAACACTTCCATACTTTTTTATTGCAGCCGTTGCAAGTGGTTTCAGTGGTTTCAATCTGCTTTTCCAAGTCCAGAGCCCTGCTCCCGGGTGCCAGGGTGCTGCGGCACACCCCACACACTGGCTTCTTGGGCTTCAGGCACTCCTGCAGGCACGGCGTGCAGAAGCTGCCAGAGAGAAAAGGAGCAGGTGGTGAGACAGCCCCGTGGGCACCCGCAGTGCCCGCTGCCCTTGCCCACACACTGACAGAGGCTTCAGACTCCGTAAGGAAGGGTAAGAGGAGCTGCTGGCGCCGGGGCGCGGAGCATCCCAGGCTGTCACACCCAGAACTGCTTGCTGCTCTGTGCCCTCGGCTTCTGGACAGGATCATGGAACAGTTTGGGCTGCAAGGGCCCTTAAAGCCCATCCAGTGCCACCCTGCCACGGCAGGGACACCTCCCACTGTGCCGGCTACTCCAGCGCTGTCCAGCCTGGCCTTGGGCACTGCCAGGGATCCAGGGGCAGCCCCAGCTGCTCTGGGCACCCTGTGCCAGGGCCTGCCCACCCTGCCAGGGAACAATTTCATCCCAACATCCAAAGCTCAGCCTGCCCTCTGACGGTGAAGCCGCTGCCCCTTGTCCAGCTTTCCTCAGGGGAGACGGGAAGCGAAAGTGGAACAACACCGGCTTCCTTTCCCCCCGCTCTCCTTTCGTTTTGTCCCTTCAAGGCCGCTCCAGCCCTGCCCAGCCCCGCTGCCGGGGCGCGGAGCAGCGCCCGCAGCCCCCGCCTGCCCTCAGCCCCGGCGGGGCCGAGCCGCGCTCCCCCCGCGGCCCCGCAGCCCCCGGCCCGGCCCCGGGCGCTCACACGTGTCCGCAGGGGACGCGCACCGGGCTGTCGAACACCTCGAGGCACACGGGGCAGGTGAGGCGGGACAGCGGGTCCGCGCGGCGCTCCGGGGCCCGCGACGGCCCGCCCGCCGCTCCGCGGTGTCCGGCTCGTGGCCCCGGCGCGGCGGAGGAGCCGGGCGGGCTCGGCCCGGTTGGCCTCGCTGCTGCCGGGGGTTCCGCACAGCCCGCGGCCAGCGGGGCGCACCGGGCCGAGCCGTGCCTGCGGCGTTGCGCTCCCTCGGGGCGCTCGGCCCGGGACGTGCTTGGGAACGTTCGCTGTCTCCGCAGCCGGCGCTGGGCTCTGGTCAGCAGTTACCGGTCCCGCACCCCCGGGCAGCGTTGGCCCTCGGGGGAGCACCCTGCAGCAGAGCAGCCTCGTTCCCCCGTGCGTTCTGGCAGCCGGGGAGCTGCTCAAACCTATATTTATCCGTGCCTGCTCGCAGCGTGAGTCTGCGGAGCCTGTAACCATGGATGTGCTGCTGGGTGGGCTGCCGCCGTGCTGCCCGCGGCTCCGTGCTGGAGCAGCCCTGGCAGGGCTGCCAGGCTGTGCCCTGGCACTGTGTGCTGTGCCCTGCAGCCCTGGCACTGTGTGCTGTGCCCTGCAGCTGACTCGGGTGCCAGGCTGTGCCCTGGCACTGTGTGCTGTGCCTTGCAGCCCTGGCACCGCTGCCAGGCTGTGCCCTGGCACTGTGTGCTGTGCCCTGCATCTGGCTCAGGTGCCAGGCTGTGCCCTGTATTGTGTGCTGTGCCCTGGCCCCGCTGCCAGGCTGTGCCCTGCACTGTGCCCTGCAGCCCTGGCACCGCTGCCAGGCTGTGCCCTGGCAGCTGGCTCGGCTGCCAGGCTGTGCCCTGGCGCTGTGTGCTGTGCCCTGCAGCCCTGGCACTGTGTGCTGTGCCCTGCAGCTGACTCGGGTGCCAGGCTGTGCCCTGGCACTGTGTGCTGTGCCTTGCAGCTGACTCGGGTGCCAGGTTGTGCCCTGGCAGTGTGTGCTGTGTCCTGGCACCGCTGCCAGGCTGTGCCTTGCACTGTGCCCTGCAGCCATGGCTCCGCTGCCAGGCTGTGCCCTGGCAGTGTGTGCTGTGCCCTGGCAGTGTGTGCTGTGCCCTGGCTCGGGTGCCAGGCTGTGCCCTGGCACTGTGTGCTGTGCCCTGCAGCCCTGACAGGCCTGCCAGGCTGTGCTGTGGCACTGTGTGCTGTGCCCTGGCAGGCCGGCCAGGCTGTGCCCTGGCAGTGGAGCAGTGCCCTGGCTCGGGTGCTGGGCACGGGGCACAGTCAGGGCTGCAGGGGCTCTGGGAGCCTCAAGGAAGGGCTCTCCTGTCTCCTGGGGCTCGCTGACCCTGCCGTGTGGCCAGGAGCTGTGTTTGGTGCCTGTTGGCACTGGGGATGGCAGAGCTGTGGTGCTGCGTGCAGCTCCTTGCCAGCACAGGATCACTCCGTGTCCTGGGGGTGTTCTGCTGACGTGCCAGACAAAGATCTCTCTCTGCAATTCTCGTGTGCAGCTCTTCTTGCCAAGGAACAGACTCTGCTGTCTTTGTCCACAGACTTCATCCTGCACAACTTGCGGAGGAACGTGGGGAGGGAAGGGGCTGCTCCTGGCCCTTATGCTCAGATGTTAATTTAGCACTCCACATTTCCTGTGATTCACAGCCTGTCTCTTGACAGGAGCGTGTGTGCCTTGCAGGAGAAGCTGAACTGCTGCTTAACTTTCCCCACACGGGGCTGGCTCTGAGCACAGCCTTTCATCAAGGAATGTTAACTGCCAGGCTGTTGGTTTTGTTGTTTGTTTGTTTCCCTGGCCTCTTGGTTGCTGGTGTTTTGTGTTTTGGCTCCTTTCCTTCCGTGGGGAAGTAATTTTCCTGTAACACGAGTGTTGATTGTTGTGCTAGCAGCTGCAGTTAATACTGGGTGAAGAGTCTTTTCTGAAATGCTGTTTGACACTGACTACATCTGAAGCAGTGCACTGGTTTCTCCCAGCTCCTCTCCCCTCAGGTCAAGAGCTGGTTTGTCTTTCTGTGTAGTAAAGCCTGTGGTCTGCTTTGTGATCACAAGTTCCTGAGGCCTTGCAGATGGAGTCTTGGCCTGAGAATTGCCTTGGTTCTGGTAGAGCAGCATTTGGGAGATTCATCACCAGCTGCTTCAGCTCACTGTGAGCTCAGTGCTCTGAAACTGCAGATCAGGATATCCATAAAACCAGCTGTCCCTGCAAACAGAAGCATGCAGGACAGAAGCACAGGAATGCTTTTACCCAGTCCCATAATGCAGCTGAAGGTGGCAGGTGTAGCTTTCTTGCCAGAAAGATCCCAGTGGTGTTTGCAGCTGGAATTTGGGCTGTGCCTTGCAGCAGTCAGGAGTGGGTCCTCTGGAGGTGGCTGCAGAGCTGCACTGGGGTGCCAGCAGCAGGAATGTCAGTGAAAATGGTAGAGATCAAAAGGCAAAGGCAATAAACCTGCCCAGCCTAGGGACGGTCCTGTGCCACAAGAGGTCAGGGGGAAGAGCAGAGATGCTTTCACAAAACGAGCAAAATGGGCAGGGACCTGGAAAAGGAGTGGGAAATGGCCCTGGAAAGCAGGACAGTGGCACTGCTGTGGCTGCTGGGCCTTTTCAGAGTCCTGCAGAGCTTGGGGGAGCTGCAGCTCTGTGAGCCTGGCACAGAGCCCCGAGAGGCAGGCGTGGCTGGCTGTGTGCACCTGGGCTGACTTGTGTTTGTTTTCAGCTTTTATTCCAGGACAGCTGCCATTGCTGAAGACTCCTAGCACACATACCCAACCCACTGCCAAGGCACCATGGAAGAGAGGAGCTAGCTGCCCCCAGCGCGAGGGAAAATCTGATTTCAATGGATACAAAATATAAAGACGATTTATTTAGGAAGTATGTACAGTTCCACGAATGCAAACTGAATGCCTCTGACAACAAGCAGCGCCCTATTAACGATGAGTACTTGCGAGTGGCAGCGGCAGCCTTACTTTGCCTTCCCAAAATTGATCCCTTTTATAGATTCCGGTTGATAAAATTTTACGAGATGGCTGAAAACTCACTGAGATCTGTGAAATCCTCAAGTTTACATTGTCTCCATAATGCATTCAACATGCTTGAGACAGTTGGGATTAATCTCTTCCTGTACCCCTGGAAAAAGGAGTTCAAAAACATTAAGGTAAGACTTTTTATGTAGCCATAGTGAGAACGTGATTTGTTTTTCTTTCCGTGCAGGCATTTCATTTGTTTCCTTTAAAGGCTTCTCTTTTTTCCATTTGTAGCATTTTATATGTATATGTATATTACAGTAGGTAAACAGAAGCCATAGGAAAGTTCCCGTGTGAAATAAGTGAAGTTTGTGCTGATGAGAGTATCCCCAGAGCAGAAGTACGAGCACTTTCTGCAATTAGAATGTGTATAAAATCAGAGAAGAGCTTATTTAAGGTTGTTGTTCAGCCTCCCCTGCTGCACTGTTTTATTTCTACTTGGAGAGGCTTTCACTATGGTGAGTGGTCAAGTTGGATTTAAGCTGACTGAGTTTGATTTGTCTTGCCACAGCTGTTACTGGACACAAGTGTGAAACCCAGGGCCTGTGTTCAAGTGGATGCTTTGCTGAGGTTCCCACAAGTTGTACAATAATGGTGAAGGAACTTCTGCAAAGGAGTTGTTTTCAGAGTGTCTTTGATCTGCTTGTCAGCGCTCGGTTCCTGATGGTGGTTTATCTTTGGCCTGTGCTGGGCAGACTGCTCCTGCCTGCACTCAGAACAGGCTGCACTGGGCTAAGCACATCCCTCAGGTGTGCCAGATGCTGAGGGGATTTCAGCTTGCAGAAACTCATGTCTCCGCTTTTGGGGCTCTTTTAGTGGAGAGTTTTTGAATTAATATTAAATTTAATAAAGCTAACATTTGAAACTGTGTAGTGACAGTACACAAAGAAGGGTGCACCTCAAGTATATTTAAAGCTGAATTGGACTTTGGCACTCCTGCAGTAATTCTGAGCTCCTGTTAGCTGCAGCTTGTCCCTGTGTGGGGTAGTTCCCAAATCCTGGCCTCTTTGCCTTTCATGGTAGACTCTGTAAATTCAAACATGTCCGGCATGCATTAAAGTTGATGTCAGTGCAGAGCAGAGCGATTTAAATCACCAGGGAGGACATTATGCTAATGAGGATTTTAAACTGAATGAAAACTCTCCTACTTTGAATTTCCCTCATGTGGAATTTCCATCTGCTGAGCGGGAGGGATGCAGAAACGGAGCTCATCTTGCCTGTGTTCAGAGTCGTTATTGTTGTATTTAATTATATGGTCTCTGTCGCTGAATTATCCGAACATCTAGTCCACCACTGAATTTGTAACCTAGTTTTCCTTTCATTCCCCCCGGGCCCCTCAGACCTACACTGGACCCTTTGTGTATTATGTGAAGTCTGCTCTAACAGAGGACGACGTGAGGCAGATTCTGAACTACATGGGCTACGTCCAGGAGCTGGGGACGACCTTCAAGCTCAAGGAGCAGGTCGACGCCATTCAGGTGAAAATGATTTCCTTCGAGCTCTTCCTGGCCAAAGTGGAATGTGAGCAGCTGCTGGAGATCCACCTGCAGGTGAAGGACAAGGGTTACTCCGAGGTGGATGTGGTGAAGGAGCGCCGGAGCAGCAGCGAGGACGTGCGGGGCTGCTCGGAGGCCATGCGGCGGCGCCTGGAGTGCAAGGAGAGCCTGAACGCGTCCATGGCGCGCATGGTGCTCCAGAAATCCGCCAGCGAGCGCGCCTCCAAGGACTACTACAAGCCAAAGGTCAGCAAGCCTTCCAAGTCAGTGGATGCCTACGACAGCTACTGGGAGAGCAAGAAACCACCTCTGATGAGCTCGCTGAGCCTCAGGAAGGAGCCCGTTTTGGTCGACGCGGAAGACGACATTAAAGATGAAATTATCCGTCCGTCGCCCTCTCTGCTCACCATGTCCAGCTCCCCACACGGGTGTTCAGATGAATACTTGCCAACTTCCTCTCACCACAACGGCATGCTAAGAACAAATGTCCCTTACAGCTCCTATTTTTCTGCTCAAGAGGACTTGGATTTGTATACTGACCCTGATTCTAGAAGCGTGTTGAATTTTAAAAGACAAGACGCTATTAAGCCTGATGTATGGCTGTTAAAAAGCGACGCCAACCCTGTTTACCACAAACGCAGCCACCTAGCCAAAGAGACAGCTTCCTCCAAGTGCCAGAACTGTGGCATACCCTGTGGCGCTGCCGTGTGCCAGAAGTGTGACAGCCTGTTCGGCTCGAGGCAGGAGTACCCGGCGCTCAAGCAGAGCTCCTACTCAATCAAAGCGCTCCCCAGCGACGCCTTGTCTCCTGCCTCGGCCCTGAGGGAGAAACCTCAGTACGCAGCACAGACTCAGAGTCAAGACAGAGCCGCTCAGTTCGGCTCCAAGTCCAAGGCCTCGGGCGCCTCGCGCTGCGGCTTCTGCAACCGCTCGGGCGCGGCCAACACGTGCACCTTCTGCTCCAAGGTCTCGTGCGACTCCTGCCTCAGCGCCTACTACTACGACCCGTGCTGCAGGAAGAGCGAGCTGCACAGGTTCCTGCCCAACAACCAGCTGAACTACAAATCATCCCAGCTGTCCCACGTGGTTTACAGATAGGCTGCGTGAGCCGCGTGGCGAAGGGGAGGGAAGGGGGAGAGGAAAGGGCTATCCTAACTAATGTTCTGACTCCACGCTGACCTCTTGCCAAAATCAGATGTTTGGAACCGTGGTTCAGTGATCAGGTGCCGGTTCTTGATTTTTGTGGCTTCACAGATGCTGCAGATCCATTCGATTTCATGCTGCTATAATTTAGGTGATTCCTAAATGAGCATTGCTTTTTAACTTACATGGGGGAGAAGAGCACGTTTTTCCTTAAAACTTGGCAGCTGTTGTATTTTTAAAAAGTGACATCATACCTTCCTATTATATCATGTCTTGGCCAAATAAAACCAGGCAGTATTTGAAAATAAAATCAGAGAATTAAGATTCTTGTTTTCTATCAGTGATGAAACCACTGCCAGTTTTTGATAAAGTATGACTTCAAA